AAGAACATATATTTAAAATTTTATTTAATTTTATTTAGTATTTATAAAGTTATAAACAATTTTTATATTTTGGTTTTTAATTTTTATACTATATATTATCTTGTAATATTTACAGGTAATCTTTTTGTTCTCTTTAAAACTTGCACTCCTCATAAAATATTCTGATACTTTACTTCTAGAAATTATTGAAGTAACCGAGGCTGATTTCAATGAATTGCTTATATTAGTATTTTCAATATCAATATTGTTATGGCTAGTTAAACTACTACTTTTATCATATGTAAATTGTATGCTATCAAATGAGTTTTCATGTTCTATTTTTAAAAAAATAAATTAGTAAAAACAAAGAATATGACAAAAGTAATTAAATAATAAAATTATAATATCACAAAGAAATGTTTAAAAAATCATTAAGAAGGGCAAGTATTAAATTTTTTTTTAACTTACCTTTTATATTATTATTAAAAAAAACCCTTATATTTTAATTTCCTAGATATTTTGATACCCACCTTACAAGAGAAAAAATGATGTATTTTATATCATCCAGGACCATTAAATCTATTCCAAAACCAAATATATTTTCGTAAATATTTTTGATAAAGGTGCTCCTTAGTTTCGACGATCCACCGGCGGAGTAAAAAAGTCAATGAATGCGATGATCTGGGAAATGCTAAGTCATCGTAACATATGAAATTCGATAAAAATACTAATAAAGAATGAGAAGTCCATCTCCCTTATAGACTTTTTGAATCTAATTCCTATTTTCTCGCCGAAGGTAGTTACATAATGGCTATAGAAGGTTCATATAAGATATGGAGAGTATCGCATTACGTATTAAATAGGCGAATCGGGATCAGCGTAGAAGTTTTTTTCGTTATACGTATTTAGGCTAAAAAACATTTCTATATTAAATATACCTCCCGATAGGAATTAGCGAAACAAGACTCGAAAAGTTAATAAGAAGGAGTAGACCGCCAATCTTCATTAGTGCGTATGTCAAAGGACCTATGTCTTGGGAAGTCGAAATCTCCGCAATCTCCGAGATCGTCGTGCACTTACCATTCTATATGAGTTGCGTAATCAAATACTATAAAAAGCCACTGATCCACCTAAAATAAACGAAAAAAAATTTCATTTTCTTCCCTTGCATTATCTAGCTTCTTGCAACCCATCACATCAACCAGATTTTTTACGCCTTGTACCGATATAAAAGATATCATGTCTTCACATGATTCAATCCCTTCTTCACCTGTATCTGAATCCTCTACTTTGACGGAAGAAAGGTTAGCTCGCATGATGGGAGATGTTATTAAGGATTACGATACTGAGGAACTTATCGAGTATCTGCAGAGAATAGATTTGAAATTAGATAATAATGACTTTGCAATTTTACGTAACCAAAAAATAGATGGTTTATCTTTTTTGGATATGACTAAAGAAGAATTCCGTGATATTGGATTTGCATTTGGACCGGCAAAAAAAACTTGCTAAATTTGTTGAAGAGCTTAATGAAACAAAATTACGAAGTTTTTCGTCGTATAAAACCATAGAAGAGCTGAAGGACGTTCTCCGTAAACATAAAGTCAATGGGGAGGATATAATAAGTATAAGGCAATTCAACCCAGGTATGTGGTATTACTTTATTTTTTCTTGGCATTATTTGGGCGAACAAGTTCGCTGAAATTTCTATTATGAAATAATGAGCTCTGCTCTGGCATTTTCCAATGTATAGTTTTCGAGGAAATCGATGACGACGATAAGGCGCTCGAGCAGTGCATGAGTGAAATAACATTGAGGCTTTCGAATTTGGAGACAATGTTAACTAGTGCTAACGAAGCCACACGTTGCGTATTCATTACATCGATATTAAATGCGTCGCTCGCCATCGCTCGGAGACTTACCAACGAAGAACTCTACATATCATATCAAAAAGATGTTTCGGGGAAGAGGCGTCAGGACGTGTCGACTATGCTATCAAAGGGAAAGAGGATCTTATGTGTATAGCCGAGGGTAAGCCTCGTAACGTTGAAATCGGATATCTCCAGAATATTGTACAACTAGAGAGCGCATATCACACAAATAAGAAGCGTACAGCGGATCAAGCATTTCGAAACGATGATTACGACTACCTCTACGGAATAGTTTCTACAGGTATGATGCGTTTGCAAATATTCTAGAATTCCTTATTTTGCTGGCTTCACCAATAGAAAAACGTTCTTTATATCTTAGCTACAGAATGGCACTTTATTATGTTCACCACCGATGGTCTTTATTGCACCAGTAAAAGTGAATATCGAATTAATATTTCGAAAATGGTACTCAAAGAAGATTTTGACTCTTCGAAAAGGCGTAAAACGGATATTAGGTGTGATTGTTGGGTTGTTAAAAGATCGGGTCAGTATAGATAATTCCCCACCAGTAAAAAGGCTAGGATCAAAAAATTTATAAAGTAATGAATAGATTTTCCACTCCACATGTACATGGCGTAATCGTAGTATTTTTATTTATACCAGGTCCTTAGGGGCTACTTCGAGTAATAAAGACTTTTTGATTACATTCGCACTGACAAAATTTGTTAAGGGTTACATGTTTATCATCTATATGCGGAGCATAGAGTCTCTGACTCAAAATTCCTAATTTTGGGATTTATATCGGAATAGATACTATTGCAAAAAGAAATTAATCGAGTTAGTTAGAAGATCGATTTATTATTTGAATTTGAAGTTGGTGGTACGAACAACAAATGTCCGATTGCTGATGTCAATATTACAAGAGCAAAGAATTATTGATCCAATTAACACATTTCACCTACGTAAAGTGGGGTTACCCATGACTCTTTGAGACGTCCCTATAGGCCTGCTTTGCAATAGCGGAGCTAGTGTCTCTGACACATAAAAAGTTCTGGCAATTTCTGGTCCTTTACCGTCCAAGTCTATAAATAAATTCTGATCTTTGATTTTTTTATATAAAAGGTGGAGAAAAAATATCTGAGACCCTCGATAAATAAAAGATCCATACACTCAAAAATGTATCTAATTTCTAACGATTAAGGTTTGTTTATGCTATGACACTTTACCCGCATTCGTGTATGTATGCTGATAAACCAACTCTCACTTATAGATGTCATCGCTTGCCGTTTCGGAAATCGCTCCATTTTTGGACTTCGCCGACCTATTGTTATTCGTGGAGAAAACATCAATTTACTTGATCGCTGGTGCCACGTTTTAATCGTGATGCCAGGTTCTTAACCGAGCTCATGCAGAATTTAACACTAAACTTACCTCACGTGACGAAAACTTTACAACGGAGATCCAAAGAATCTTGACAATACTTAATACTTCTACTGTGAGACTTGATGAGATCGAACAAGTTCTTCAAAATCATCATAACAATTTTGGAGAAATTGGCTCTATTGTAACACTCCAAAACGAAATTAATCAACACTATGCAGAACTTCGAAACAGCAACTTACCGGATCAACAAAATGACGATAATCAATCTGAAGCTTCTCCTCTCATGTTCGGAAAAAGATAAATAGATAACAATATGTCGTGATCCATTAATACTAAATGAAGGCTATGTGGTGTGTTTGTTAACCTTTCTCTGGCTTCGAGCCTATATGCGAGAAGGCGGGATATATGTGTAATGTTGTAATTGAAATGATTGAACTTTTTACTCTTGGGGTGGTAAAGATTCGATTAAAAATTGTTAGTATTTCAGAAATCTTATATATAGCAAAGAAAAAAATAGGTTGGTGAACAATATGACGCAGGGACTCGCATTAAATGGCCTAGGATCTGCGTACTCCCTCCCTTGAAAGCATGACATATATTTCGTTATCAATGAGTCGGAATAAAATCACCCTGTAATTCTGAAAAAAGATTGATTTCTGAAAAATAAAAATTTAAAACCATGACAGTTTGTAATCGAAATCATAAAATCGTTTAGGACAATTAAAGAAAAGAGTTGCCACTGCATGGACGATAATAACCGCGTAAAGAGTGAAGAGCAAGAACGGGTGTTTAGGCCGGTGATAATCACTCTTTTACCATGCAATTGCAAAGAGTTACTTACCGCTGCATGGACGGTAATAACCGCGTAAAGAGTGAAGAGCAAGAACGGGTGTTTAGGCCGGTGATAATCACCCTCTTACCATGCAAAATACTGTTCATATTAAGTTGAGAGAGAAGCTTAATACGTACAGTACATGTTTATCACACTTTAATGGTTACACAAAATCATTGATTCTACACGCGTGCTAGGGCGGCCGCAGTAATTTATTATACTGTATATGCCGAAATATACCCTTTATGACTTTAAAATATGCCCGAAAAAATGCAAAAAAAATGCGAAAAAATGCAAAAGTTAAAAAAATGCGAAAAAAATGTGAAAAAAAGAGAAAATTTTATTATATTTATTAATCCTTATTAAAATATAAAAAATTTAAAATTGAAATTGATTTCTCTGATAATGAACAACATTTATCACTAAGAATATTTCTATAAGATGAAAAACTTCTTTTTACATCAACCCCCAATACTGGAAGCCAAATATACATTAATGCTATTTTAGACAAATTTGAAAGATGATTTTTTTTATCATTTCAGTATTTATCCAAATCTAATTTATTATCTTTTTTAAAATCTTTGCTTAATTCATAATAAATTTCCCATTCAAATAAAATAATGTTACTAGAATTTTTAAATTCTTTGATTTTATTATATCTTTGAATATTATATCCTGCTTGATTAACTTGTATAAATTGAGGATTAAAACATTGAATAGCTTTAAATAATGGTAATACATAATAATAATCAATATGTTTTTTAAACTTATCTAATATTGATTGAAAAATTCTATGAAATATTTCTTGAAATATTGATGAATCTATATTTAAAGAATTAAATTTGATATTCATTTCACTACTAATTAGAAGTTGGATTGTGTCTGATTGTAAATGAGATTCAAGTAAATGTAATTTTATAAATACAATATATACTATAGATTTTTTTTTTTTTTAATAATCCATAATCATGCTACAATAATATGTCTTTATTGAGATATTGAAAAATATCACAAAGTTTACAGACTTTCATAAAGCAACTAACTCATCATTATACATTATTAGTTAAAGGATTATATTACTTAAAAAATATGAGGAGTCCACTAAAATAGTTTGGATTAAACAAAACTAAGTCTAAACTAGATACTCTAAGTCAGATTTTGAAGACAATATTTCGCTTTTCTAATAGCTTGGTATTAGCCTTTAAGTTAACCAGGATCATTGCCAACAGTTTGTCACTGTTGATTATTCCGAAAAACAATAAATTGTTAAAGTTGACATTGGGAAAAAAAGAGGAAAAGAAAAAAAACCAATTCTAAGTCCTTCAAAAGGTTCTTGCTTCATTTCACAATTTCCTCTCAAAAAGGGTTTGCCTAATTGAGATATTCTCTAAGCTTCATGATATTTAAGAAACTTAAACATTCTCGAAAGTGACTTTAAGGAACTTATTCTTTTGCTGATTTACAGATTCGTTTAATATTACTGGAGTCAATACCATATTACGGAAGAGTTTGCCTGACTAGAATAAAAAAATCTTTTCAAGAACTTTGCCTGACCAGGATAGAAGCTTGGAAACCTCAGCTTTTGTCTAAAAAAGTCTTTTTATTATCTGAGAAACTTAGGGAAAAATGGGAGTTGGATCTTCTTTTCCTGCCTATCACTCATCTTTCAGTATTATAATTGTTTCCTGAAGGTTGAATATGTACAATTGGAGGGAATACTTTTTCTAAAACTTTCTTTTCTATATCATCAATGATGTATTAAGATATATGACTGTGATCAATAGGAGCTTGTTTACATTCTAAAAACTAATGTATTTTATATTAACCAATTATTTTTGATAAGGATTTGTACTATCCAAAATTCAGTGTCAGACTGAAATAGGCAAAATTCTTTAGAAAACTATGAAAATGGGAGTTTTAAGAGGGTTAAAATAGTTAAAAAGGGAGAAAATAAGCCTTTTTATTACAGAAAACCTCTATAAATCTTTTGGTTCAAAGGTTAGAAAGATTTTTAGGTACTTTACAATCAGTTCTTCTTCCTTTGTGAACTTTCTTACAGTTGGTAACAAAGGTATTACTTGACTTTTTCTTGATTATTAAAAGTCAAGTTTTTGAGTAAAGAGATTTGTAAACAATAGAGAAAGAGTAAAAGCAACTCTTGAAATTATGTTTCAAGTTGTTTTAAGAAAAGTATTAAGACTTTATTAGCAAGGAAGTGTAAAAACTTCTTGCGAATATCTTTTTTGTGTGTGGTCAGAGAATCAGCAGAAAGATTCATATCATATTATAATTATATTGTTTAATTGTTTTTTAATAATATATGATATATATAATATATTTTTTTTTTAATCTGCAATCATATCACAATGACATGTCTTTATTTCTTTATTGAGATATTGAAAGATACTACAATGTTTATAGACTTTCACAAAGCAACTAACTCATTATTATACATTATTAGTTAAAAGATTACACTACTTAAAAAATATGAGGAGTTTATTAAGTTAATTTGGACTAAACAAAACTAAGTCTAAACTAGGTACTCTAAATCAGATTTAGGCAACAATATTACACTCTCTTAGTAGCTTGGTATAAAGTTTCTAAATCAATCAATGTTATTGTCAACAGTTTGTCACTGTTGATTATCCTGAAAAATAATGAATTGCTAAAGTTAGTACTGGGAAAAAGGAAAAAGAGAGATACAATTCAAAGCTTTTCAAAAAGTTCTTACTCTATTTTACAATCTTCTCTTGAAAGGGATTTGTCTGATTAAGATATTCTCTAAGTCTCATGATATTGGAAGAACTTAACTATTCTTGAAAGTGACTTCAAGAAAAACATTTGAGAAATTTATCTTTTTGCTAATATATGGATTCACTTAACATTATTGGAGTCAACACCATATTACAGAAGAATTTGCCTAACCAGAATAAAATAATCTTTTTAAGAACTTTGCTTGAATAGGATATAAGCTTGGAGACCTTGGCTTTTGTTCAAAAAAACCTTTTCACTACCTGAGGAACTTAATGAAAGATAGGTATTGAATCTTCTATTTCTATCTATTACTTACCTTTTAGTATTATAATTATTTCTTGAAGGTTGAATATACATGATTGGAAGGAATACTTTTTCTAGAACTTTCTTTCCTATATTATCAATGATATATTAAGACATGTGAGTATGATCAATAGGAGCTTATTTATATTCTAAAAATTGATATATTTCATGTTAATCAATTACCTTTGGTGAGAATTTATACTACCCAAAATTTAGGATCAAACTGAAGTAGATAAAATTTTCCGGAAAATCATAAACATGGAAGCTCTAAGAGGACCAAAACAGTCAAAAAAGGAGAAAATAAGCCTTTTTACTGCAGAAAACCTTTATAAACCTCTTGCTTCAAAGGTTAAAAAGATCTTCAGGTACTTCACAGTCAGTTCTTTGTCCTTTGAAAACTTTCTTGCCATTAATATTAAAGGTATTACTTGACTTTTCTTGATCACTAGAAGTCAAGTTTTTGTGTGAAGAGATTTGTAAACAATAAGAGAAGAGTAGAAGTAACTCTTGAAGTCATATTTCAAGTTGTTTTAAGAAAAGTATTAAGACTTTATTAATAAGAAAGTGTAAAAACTTCTTATGAATATCTTTTTTGTGTGTGGTTAAAAGATCAACAGAATGAGTTTTATAATACAATATATTTTTTAATATTACATATTTTCTTTTTAAAAATAAGAAATAAAAACTTATTAAATAATATACAATATTTATTGTATAAAATAAAATAATAGTCTAACTAGCCATAAAAATACTAGTATTAATAATATTATTACAAATAATTTATTAGAATTGATTTAACTATTATAGTAATTTCTAAAAGCAAAAAGTGAAAATATTTTATACAAGGTTCAAGTTTTAAAAATAGGTGAGTATTTTTAATTTAATTAAATATATTGAAAAAAAAATCTATTTATTCTATTACTTTTACAAACATATAAAAAATTATTTTAAGATATATTATTTGTTTATTATTAAATAAAACTTAATAAAACATTAGAAAGTAAAAAAAAACAAACTCTTTTCACTAATCTTCTAACTATACACAAAAAAGATATTTGCAAGAAGTTTTTTGTTTCTTTGCTAAAAAGTCTTTAATACTGTATTTTCCTTAAAACACCTTGAAGTATAACTTCAAGAGTCACTTCTATCCTTCTCTTATTGTTTATAAATCTCTTTACTCAAAAACTTGACTCCTAGTGATCAAGAAAAGTCAAGCAATACCTTTGATACCAATGGTAAGAAAGTTTCCAAAGGAAGAAGAACTGACTGTGAAGTACCTGAAAGCCTATTTAATTTTTGAAGCGAAAGGTATATAGAGATTTTTGATGACAAAAGAGCTTATTTTTCCTCTTCCAGTCACTGTTGGGCCTCTTAGAGCTATTACTTTTATGGTTTTCTGGAGAATTTTGCCTACTTCAGTTTGATCCTGAATTTTTGGTAGCACAAATCCTTATCAAAGGTAATTGGCTGATATGAAACATGTCAGTTTTTAGAATATAAATAAGCTCCTATTAATCACACTCATATGTCTTGATACATCATTGATAATATAGGAAAGAAAGTTCTAGAAAAAGTGTCACCTCCAATCATGTATGTTCAACCTTTAAAAAACAATTATGATACCAAAAGGCAAGTGATGGATATAAAAAAAAGATTCAACTTCCATCTCTCATTAAGTTCCTTAGGTGGTGAAAAAACTTTCTTGGACAAAAGCTGAGGTTTTCAAGCTTCTATCCTGGTCAGGCAAAGTTCTTGAAAAAGATTTCTTTATTCTAATTAGGCAAACTCTTCCATAATATGGTGCTGGCCTCACTAGCAATAGGTGAATCTATACATAGGAAGAAGGATAAGTTCCTCAAACATTCTTCTTGAAGTCACTTTCAGGAATGACTAAGTTTCTCAAACATTATGAAGCTTAGAGAATATCTTAATCAGGCAAACCCCTTTCAAAAGGAAACTGTGAAATGAAGCAAGAACCTTTTGGAGGCCTTTAATTTGTATTCTCCCTTCCCTTTTTCCCAGTACCAACTTTAGCAATTCATTATTTTTCAGGATAATTT